TTTTTTTTTTTTAAAAAAAAAAACTCGAACTTATCTCATAAGTTTCTTTAGGTAGCTTTTCAAACAAGCTCGTTAAAATATTTATTTCAGCTAGCTTATCAGTTAATTTTACCCAACACTTTTATCACATAAACTAGTTTTTTTAGCTATAAATCTTAATATAAAACTATAAATTTAAAAATCACTTATAAGCTATAAACTAACTTATCAGCTAATTTTAACCGACAGTACATTTTTCACCTACATGATTATAGGCAAGGATTCTTGGCCCTTCTATCAACAGCGAAATAATCGTGACAAGAATAATACAAAGGACCCAATAATTGTTACAAAAAAAAAAAATCGAAAACGCTTGTCAATTATTGAACATGTATAAGAAAAGTAAAATATAAAATAAAAAATTAGTGAAAATAAATAATGAACTACTGAACGTACAACACGTAAATAGAAAAGAGAATGAATAAAATATGCAGCCTTTGAAAGTACAACACCTTGAAGCGTCATTTGTTCTAGATTTGCCCGTGGGCGCTACGCAAAAAATCTCTAGTTCTTACCACTTTGTTCTACCAAACCTTCTTTCGAAGTAGGATTGCTCAACATTATAAGCTGGCCTAATCTGTTGTGTATATATATTGAGATCGATTTTAAATTTATCTTGGAGGAGAGAATGTCGAAGAAGAAGGCGACGATGACCTTGAAGGACTTCCATGGCGGCTCTATTCCTTCTGATCTTCGTCTGCCCTCTGCGCCTGGCGTGTGAGTCCCTTTTTTAACTTACCTGTTCGGATCGTGAATGAATGAGTTCGGCGTGAATTTTTATTTTTCTGAAGCTAATCTGATATGTTTGAATTCGACTCTCGTTTGGCTCGTTTTGATTATTCTGTTCATGATTGAATTGTTTTATTGTTTATTGTGGTGTTATGAAATTGGGTTGTTAATTTACATCTTCAATGGAGAAGAGCAAGTTTCGTTTTTTATTCAGATGGGGATTTGTGAATGAGGCATTAGATTTATTCACATCAGTAACCTAGATCTGATTCTTCGAGATACATCCGATTTGGATCTCTGGCTGCTGAACCGTAATAGTACTTCTTCCTTATGCAATTGTTCATTCTTGTTCTGTGATTTTGTTTACGCTGCTGTATGCACTGTAGGGATGTAGAGTGAACTCCAATCGAATTCCGATAGGCGGTGAGATTCCAAATTAATAGTCTTTTTTCTTTTGATAATTGGCAGAAGCGTGAGGCCCGTAGATCGTCCTGGATTCGATCGGCAGATGTCGTGGGGTAGTTCAGCAGGAAGGCCTGAACACCGAGCCCGCCCTGCCTCTGCCGGCTCAATTAGGAACCTTGACGAAAAGGCTCCATTTTTTAGCTATGGTCCTCATATAGGCCGCAATTTCGATGAAGATGAGCGTAAGCCTTTAGAAGGGCTGTCCGGCCAGCGTCGACCTGTAGTTGATGAAAGTGTCCATCCGCAGCACAGCCACCCTGTGGAGACTAAAGTTGGGAGCCGAGCTGCTTCAACTCCTGCTACATCTTATGCTGGGAGGGTTAGTGAAGTCCCCAAAGCGAGGTCTAACAATCAAACTTCTAGCGGCAACAGCAGCTATGGGTCGAATTATCCAGTCATTGGCGGTAATCCCGGGCAGGCAGCGGCCGGGTCGTACCCAAATGCTTGGGGAATAAGGAAAGAGGCTGCCGGCATAAAAGAGCACGTTCCTGCTGCATGGTCCGCTCCTGACGCTGAGACCAAATTGGCCCACGCGAGTGCTCTCGAGAAGATCTCATCCGGCCGGTGGAACTCCAAACAGCATGTTCATTTTCCCAAAGATGTCGAGGTGCCTGTGCATGAGGAGAAAGCCTACAGTGTGAAAACACATGATAGGACGGAAGTGTTGGGCAGCCCGAGTTATGGAAAAGAATTGCCATCTCACGATGGGGTTAGATCCACCGCTCGCATGGATTCGTACGAGAGGAACATGCCAGTTGCTGTCGACGGGCTACAGTCGGTAGTGCCTTCAGAATCATCTGAACGGCCAAAACTGAAATTACTCCCAAGATCGAAACCGATCGAGAATGTGGAGCCGCCGACTGATTATAAGCAGGTATGTTTGAAAAGTTAGGTTTCTTTATTCTTCTTTGTGTCAATGTAAATTTGAATATGCTGTTGCTGTGTTGGATCATTGCTCATGATTCTGGAGTTCCATTTTTGCCATCAGACCAATAATCCGCCTCCTGTGGAGGATAGCTATGCCGTACATGAGCCTAAAATTTCCTTACACTCTGGTGCTGCTGGACCGGTGGTTGATGATCGAGCCCCAGAGCGTGCAAAACTGAATTTGAAGCCACGATCGCAGATTACTGAGCAACCTGAAGGAAACAATGAATTCAAAAGGTCCATGGACGCGAAATTATGCCTTTGGATTTTTTTATTAGTTGTTTCTTTCTCAATGTAATTGCTGCTAAAAAATATTCTTTTATGATCTATTTTACCTGATGATTGATCTCTCATTGTGATCCATGACTTATTTTAAAAAAAGAACACATACGTAGTGTTAGATAATTACCTGAGAGAGCTGAATGGTTTCACACACACACACACACACAAAGCCACAAGGGGAGAAATGAAAGCAAGAATATGTAAAAGAAATATTAAGGAGTATATGCTTAGTAAGATCTGGATAATTATGATGTGTTCTGGCTGTCTTTCTTGACTGATTGCTAGGATACTTGGCTGAAAGCCTTAATGATATTTTTGACTATGGTTTTTTCATTTGCAAAAATGTGGGCTGTAACATATGGATTCTATTGTTCGTATAATGAAAATGTGGGCTGATATTTTCTTTGTCAAATATGAGATACTAAGTCATGTGAGTAATATAGCAGGATTCTTTTAATTCCTATTTGACAGGTTCTAAGTATTTGTTTCTCAGTGTCAGTCTGATAATGCCTGTTTACTTAGGTTTTGGTGTCTTGTCGTTAGTGTTTTGGGATGTCCGATTGGGTTCAGTGTTGACCCTACCTGCAATGATGATTTTTCATTGTTTGTATGATGTATCATTAGTTTACCATTTGCTGATGTCATAGTTCATCAGTATCCCATTGTTTATTGCTGCATTTTATTTTTTGGGTCAGAGTCGGGGGGTTTGTTGGCATGGAGTAAGAAGATCGGAAAGACCTTTTGTAGTATAGAAGAAATGAGATAACACTGGTGAATTTATAAAATTGATAGGAAAATGCATTTTTAGCCAATTAATTTGCATGACTCGGTGACATGCATGTTCCAATGTACTTTGGTACGAGTGTGACTTTATGCCACAGTGTTCTATTAGAATTCGGTTTGATTACCAAACTTAAGGTAATCTAGCTTAAGGTAACTTAAACTTGGTTGCAGTTGTCTTGGGATGACCTTGTCGTTTGAAAGCTTTTGTTTTGGATTCAGTTTGAGCAGATAAGGTTAGCAAGAGGGTAACCTGTCCTGTCATTGCGAACTATCTTTTGACATTTGTTTATAATAAGAATTGTAATAACATGAATGATATGATATGGGGAAAGCAGCTTTCCTATGGAGCCAAAGAACTGGGAAAGGAATAGTTACCTACATTTTGAAATACGGTGTAAGCGTAATTTGATGCTCCATAGTGATAGTAGTAATAGAAATAAATCTATCAGATTGAATTGAACTGAGAATAGTAGTTAATCTAATTTATTAAAAACATAATTGTTTAAATAGCTTTTTTCCACTGCCGTAGATATTTTCTTCCTTTCTCGATTTTCTATTTTAAAACTTAATCTTCTACAGCAGTAATTTATGTTTTTAACATTTCGATCTTCTCATTTTTTTTTTTTATTTTTTTTTGTTTCAGAGGGACTGTTTTTGGGGGAGCTCGCCCGCGAGAATTGGTAAGTTCATTTCTATCTTACCGCAGAAAAGTGATTATACTGCCTCAAATTTGACTTCTGAATTACATCTTGATCAAATTTATCGCATATCCCTATTGATTACCTCCATTCACATAGGACCTTCCTACAAATTGCCCAATTTGCCTTCCATGTTCTTTTTTAGCCCATACGATACCTTTAATCACTGTGATTGTGTTATTATTTAATCTCGGCCATAGTTAAGATTTTCTTCATGACATAGTAATTCCAAATCCAGGTTCTGAAGGAGCGAGGAATCGAGGATAATGTAAGCAGTTACGAGTCTCAATCTCCCTTGAGGTAAATCTCAATTTACTTGTGTCCACTTCATATAAGATCTCAAAAGTTTTAGATCTTTCTCCAACTTAAATATTTTATTTTGTATCAAACTAATGACAACCCTAAAGAGCAAAATCAACCACGCCCAAAGCCGAGATGTCCACACACTTGCCGCCTTCCCGCCACAACGAAAAAGCTGAAACCAATTCCGGCTACCAAAAAGTAGCCGCCAAGTACCCGAACAGGCACCATTCGGACCCTGAAAAATTCGATCATAACAGGAGGAACAGGCCGAATGAAATCCATAAGAATATTCGACCGGAAGTTGATAAGAACTGGAATCAGCAGCAGAAGCAGGATAGGGCCCCATCGCCCGAGACCTGGCGCAAGCCCGTGGGCCCGGAAGGGGTCGGTCACGGCCCACCTGTGCGGTACGGTAAAGCTGCTTCGGCAGTCGAGCTCGCTCAAGCCTTCTCAAAGTCTGTATCAGATCCCGCAGTCTCCAGGGGGGTTTCGGGTCGGGGTCAGGTGCCTTTTTCCCGGCTGACGGGTCCCACATCGAGGCCTCAGATCAATGGCTACTGAAATCGACGAGGGTCTGCGAGAATGGGGACTTTCGGTGAAAGCTCGGTGAAAGCTCGACTGGCTCGTATCGTGAGCAGATTTGTGGAGGAATTGGGGTTAGGCCTGATGAAATCTGGGGACATAAGAGCGAGTTCATTTGTTTTAAACTTTTTATTAATGTTGTGGTGTGATGATTACTAGCGATATTATGGGTTCTAAGACGAGTTGTTTAGGGAATAATCGTTGAACGTCGTATTGATTAGTGCATTGAAACTTTTTAAGATGAAGTCGTGGTGTTTAAGTGATGGATTTTTTTTTAGTCCTTTTTCTCATTCGTACGTATTATTGTGCCTCGATTATTTTTCTACCTTATATGCCAAGTGACTATTTAAACTCCATTAAGGCGGTTTTAGAATTCAGGTATTAATGTAGAATATTTCGTTCCTACACGGTGCTATGCATCGAATTTTAGTTTTATATAAGAGAATGGTTTCGTTACGGGACTGTAGCATTTTCCTAACTTTAAACTCAAATGTCATACTTTTAGAAAGCATCCCTATATATAATTTCAAAAGGAAAAAGTTATTTGTACAACATTCACAACAACATGATGTAGCATAATGTGGGTAGTTGAGATGCAAATTAAATGTATGATTAAGAGAATGCTACATGTACAATTGTTGTTTACAATATTGACGGATAACTTAGTTAAAAATATCATTAACTCAAATCTTAATCATAAAATCGGAAAATGAAGATACAAATATAATAAAGTGAGACCTCAAAATTAAGCCAGTGTCTCGTTTTGGATCTTTAGTATGAGAATAAATTCAACAACAGATAGAATCATAGAACTGAAATTGGCAACATTAATAGATGAACTAATGCACAATTTCCCTCCATCTACTCAACTTCTTGGTTGGTTTGTGCACATAAATATCATCCAATAATAAAACATTGAAATAGCATAAGATAAGATATAATTGGTCATCATTGCATTGGTATAGGCTTAACAACGAGAGAGACCAAATTAACCTTAGTCTCATTATGAGGAACCCCAAAACCGTCTCCAAATTGATAGATGCAGAGCCCAATTCGAGCAATATTAATGGCAGTCGCACCAAAACTCTTGACGGACTTTTCCATCAAAATGTCTTTGTTCATTCTCTTCAAGTTCACATCGATAAGGTGCTTAATGTGCTCACGAGCATCCTCCTCCGAACATCCCGTCCCATGCATGTGGCACTGAATCGATTTCGGGACGTCTCCTTTTTTCATTTCATCCTATAATAGAACACAAAGAAATTTAACGTCCCAATTCAAGATATATAATCTTTTCATGAAATACAAATGATGAGGCTGCAAACGAACCGAGTTGAGTCGAGCATTATCGAGCAAGATTGATTTTTTTTTTTACCTGCTCGAGCTCAATTTATGACGCTCGAGATCGACTCGACAAAAGAAGACGATCGCTCGAGTTCGACTCAAATTTCAAGTGAAATTACCTTAAGTACATATATAATATTTATATATAAAAGGAATATTTTAGTAATTCACTATATATCTCGAGCCGCTCGCGAGCGGCTCAACCTTTCAAAACAAAACCTATGCTCGAGATCGACTCGTTAATATGCTCGAGCAGCTCGAGCTCGAGTCGAGCTTTGACTCAAGCACTTGCGAGTTGTTCGGTTGGTATACAAATGTGCTCTTACCGATGCAGTTCCCAAGTCATCAGCCAGTCGAAGAACCATGGACGGCCAACGGATGATACCTTGATATTGCTCTAAGATGCTCAACTCTTTCTCATCAATGGGGTTTGAGATGGCAAAATAAGCGTGAAGCGAAGCTATAGGCCCCCCTATGGAAACCCAAGCCGTGTTCATATACTCATTGGTGCTCGGGAAATACCCATTATGAAACCAAGTCGCTTCTACATAATAAGCTCGACTCAGTTCGGCCCACTTGGAAAACACACAAAACAACATCATTGTTAAGTGTCATGTCAATGTTGACAATAGTAGTAAAAGCATAGACAAATCAATCAAGAAATTAACTTGTGGGTGTTATGTATACCAATTTCTTCAAGTTAGGAATTATGTTGAGACCTTGGTCCCTTAGAATGTGATAAGCCAACTCATTAGCGGAGTTGAACAAAGCTAAAAAGCAGATCCGCATGTACTCGGGGAGATTGTCCAATTCATTAATGTCCCACCTGATATATATATATATATATATATAACGAAGATATCATGACAATTCATAATTAAATTATTAAAAATAAAAGCAATAAAAATGAATTGAATAAATTGGAGTTAGACGCGTATTTAATTGGAGCACAAGTTATTAGAACACAATTAAATCTATTAATATGAAAATGTAGACCTAGCTAGTTAGTTTCTTAGAGCATCTGCAATGCTTTGGGTTCAATCACAAAAAATTGTATGACACATAAGAAATAGACCTAGTCTACAAAAATGTATTCTCCAGTGCAAACAAAAGTAGATTGGGTTCTGCTGATGTGGCAGCCAGAAAAAGAGATCTGGTCTACCCTTAAGTCTATTTTAGACTCAAGTAGAGACCTAGTCTCTTTGCATTGGAGTAAGTTTTATTAAGTTTACATACTTATATCCATGTCATCCAAGACTTGAGTTTATTTACATGCCACATAGGCAAGACAGACTCAATGCATTGTAGATGCTCTTATCGTGATGATTTCTGTTTACTAAAAAAAAATGTGTGAGAAACTTTTATTTATTTGCCGTTTTATATTATAATATATAATTAATGTTCTAAAAGTTCTTAGGCGCTCATTAGGTTGAGGACTGGGGCCTAAAGAAAATATATTAATAAATTTATTTATATTTATTATCATGCATAATATATAATTATATTATATAAAATATATTAATTATTATGGTTGAACACAAAGATTATGCAAAATCTAATGCATTCATAATTCTATTAGTTGTGAAGGGTGCTAAGACGCTGCCAAGACCGCCTAGGCAGCCTGGCCCGCCAAAGCGCGAGTACCTTCAGCACCGCCTATGCACTGTCAAATCGTTGGAGCGCCTAGAACGACCGCCTAGGCAAAAGTCGTAGCACCTTATTAATATATTTTCTAAATCATATATAATGAATTTAGACATAACTTTTTTTTTAATTGATACATATACTGTTATTAAATTTTAATTAATATTAATAGATGGCTTAATTTTATAATAAAGAAAAAAATATTTATTTCGTATGTGTAATATGGATATCAAATCAAACCAAGTCAAAAGAGGATTAATATGATATATTGTTGACGATATTATTCGTCAGTCTTTGGTTCTTGCCTTGCCGGGAGCCGGCCCCTGGTAAGCCACTGACCATGCAGGTCTAACTGTTAAAACTACGATAGCTAGACCGACATACTATTTTCACAAATATTCATACTGTTATTAGAAAATGTCATACTTTCAAAAACATCATAAATAGAAGTATAACATTTGATAGTTTTTTTTTTTGTTCATATAACATTTGATAGTGTAAGTATACATATTTGTTCAAAGAGTATGATGGACCGACCTCGTTTAACGGTTTGACTGTCACCTATAAGAAATTATGTAGAAAAATATAATTTTTAATAAAAATATATGCTTTTAATAAAAACTACAATACTTCAGTAAACTACAAGACAACAAATGTTTTTAATAAAAACTACAATACTTCAGTAAACTACAAGACAACAAATGTTGGACTTGTCATATATATATAATATTATTGGAAAATGCTACGGTCCCGTTACGGAACCATTCCGTCGGGGTTTGTAACCGTTAGATCAACTATCTCCGATGGTTACACGATGATCTAACGGTTACAAACCCCGACGGAATGGTTCCGTAACGGGACTGTAGCATCTCCCAATATTATTATTCACATAGTATGACAAGACACCATCACTTTAATATGTTTACAATTTTTTTTAGTCAATCACGATTGGAGATATGGTCCGACTAATTCATTATATAATTCAACTAACCTCTCAATGGCGTGGGTGAAGGCTTGGAGTTCAGACAAGGTACCATATACATCGTATATGTCATCAATAAATGTAATTAGCACAGACATCTTAGTTATAATCTCCCTCGTAAACCCAAATTGAGGCTCGGCCGTGACTCCCACGGCCCACAGGAAACACTCGGCCAACCGATGCCTGGCAAAGCCCAGCTTCTCTACCAGACCAGTTTCTTCGTACCACCTGCAATTAATTCAGCACCAAAATTTCAATTATTTCCATAATATGGCCTCACCATATCTGTACATGTTCTAATTATGCATATGTGTCACGTGCGGCAGACTTCATGGCTACTCTGGCAGCTTCCTCTCCGTTAGGATTCCATCTTGTCGATTTCCCACCCTCCGGCCTGGGGACATGGCTGGATCATGATCTTATTGGGTTTCTTACCCCCATCGAGTCCTAGTTTAAACTTCTCTAGGCCTTTGGCCTCCTCTTTTGTACCAAAAAAAAAAAATTGCTAATTCAACTTTTATTTTGTATCAATTTCATTAAAAAAGAAAAGAAAAAGCTTTTATTAAAATGAAATTCTCATTGATTAATTCAAAATGTAAAATAATTTGTGGTTTCATATACAGAAAAAACGAATCAAATATGAGGTTGTTGATTAAATTTGGACAAAGTAATGTTCATAAATTGATCATCAAAGTCGACGCCTCGACGGCGATCAATTAACCCTACAATCCGGTGAGGGAATGATTTTGTGGTTATTATTAGCATGT